AAGATGGGGCACCTAAGTACTGTCAGTCAATGCTTTCCCAATTCCTGGGGGTTTAATAGCATTTCAGCTGCAGTGGCATAGGTCAGTTGCTCTGGCAGCTATAGGTAAGTCAAGCCATGATTGAAAGTGTCAGAATAAATTCACAGGATAGGTTTAGATTTGATACAGGATTGTTGTGGCTACAACTTGATAAATGAATGGTATAAAGCTATTAACATTGATCATTTACTTCAAGTTATCATTCCTTATCTAATGGTTGGAGAAACCATTTGCCCCTCTGGTATTTACTGTGCCTTAAACTGAACACACAAACCTGCCCTAAAAGTTAGTACTGTGTTCCTTTTACCTTATACTGTAAGTACACAATACCATGTGTTTTTCTCTAATATTTATAGTTTTATTCTTGCCTGAATATTCTTTATTCAGTTACTCCCCAAATTTCCAGTGGTTAGCTAGCCGCAAGTTATTTAATCTTATTTCTTATTTATTTTATACCTGGCCTGGCCTGATTTAGGTAATAGATAATTGTTGTAATTTCTAAATATTGTAAAGCTTCATTAATGTTTCTTCTATCTCTGTGCACCAACTATTTCAGTATCAGAATGCAAACACAGATATGATTTAACAGCTTAGCAGAACACTGGGTTTTATAGTCATGCATATTTAAACTTGAATCTCAGTCTGACTTTGGAATGCATTGATGAATGGAGCTTGCTTTTTTTCTTATTTTAATAAATGGGATCAAACAGTACCAATGGCTAGCTAATCAGAGCATCGTACTATGCCAATTTTCTTGGAAACAGCACAATAGGAATCTGTCATTTCCCTTAATATTTGAACCAAGGTTTCTGCTTTATTCTAATTCCAGAGCTTAACAGCTGACAATGATCCGGATAATGTTGTTAAATGGATATTACAAAATTATTACACCTATTTTTTGTTTTCATTTCTACACAGCTATGAAACCTCTTAGATATTATCATATATATTCATAGTGATAAATTTTTACCCAGTGTGATTATTTAGAATGGAATTCCATATGGAAAAAATTGAAAATATATTTTAATGTAATTCTAGCAGTCCAGATTATATATCACACTATAAACTCTGTGTTCTTTTAGAAAAAGAAAAAGAAAAAATGTGATATTTGGCTCATCAAACAAATATGTGAATATGCTTATATTTCATCATGGGCCAAAACATAATCCATTTTTAAATATTAAAAGCATCTGTTGTGCTATTCTTTTGGTAGACATTAATTGAAACATGTTTTGTATTAATACTGGTAAATCCACAGAACTAGGTGCATTTCATATCTATGAGTGAATGTATATCTATTAAGCTATATCTATTAACCACAATTCTTTGTTTTTTAGTGAGACAACAATTCTTGGAATTCTAGCAATTTATTCATCAGACAATGGAACAATAGACAAGAATAATTCTGAGTTTTTAAAAAGTTGAGTTAAATCTTATTCTTTCTGATATTCTCTACCAAGCAAGTAGAATGACATGGGGTAAGTATTAGGAGTAAATGAGATACAATAGTCAGATTGTTTTGATATTTGTGCGAAGAACAAATTTAACTCTAAATCTCTTGGCAAACCTTGCTTCACCCACATAATCTGGAGAACATCCCTATGCAAGCCTTGTCTAAGCCTCTGAGAAGACTGCTGCCCTCCTGCTCATGTCCGCCAGAATCTGATCTGACTTTCCTACTTAATCTGATCTAATCCTGTCCAGCATTAACTTCATCTGTGCAATGAAACCCAGAGTATCCATTCTAATATTTGGTGAGGAAGGCATTTACTAAATTACTTGCTGAAATCATATGGTGTTGTTTAGCTCCTTATTTTAATCAGATGATGCATCTCTGAGGCACATTATCAGCGATTAGTTAGAAACCCATGTCTGTCCTTTTTGGGAACAAAGAAGTTTTTTCTGAAAGGCTATGCATTGGGAAAAGAAACCCTGTTTCATTCATTGGTTAGTCATAAAAGGAGAAAATAAAAGACAAAGAAAAGCGTTATACAGAACTGGAAATATTTTATTAAGAGATGCATTTTCAAATTCACGTCTATAGCTCATGAATTTAATTCACCATTTTAAAGGACACATGGTTTGTTTTTCCTTTAAATTGTTTAGATTTCTCAGTCACTTAGAATACTGGAATATTTTTATGAAGAATGCCTGCATAAAAAATGTTGTGTATTTATTCTTCTTATCTTGCATGCCATTTGCTTCACTGAAGTCAATAGCCAAAATCTCATGGACTGTCTCAGACCAGCATCAAAGAAGCTAAACAAAACTGAGTTATGTATTTATGTGAAATAATATTTATGGTGAAATATATTTTCAAAGCACACTTCAACTGAAATCATTGGGGAATTTATACATTAGGTAAGTCATCAGAAATAAACATTAGTTGATATCAGTAGCCGAATTTATTTAGATACATAACAAAACATTCTGTTACTTGTCAATTAACCAAAGGTAAATATGTTTTTCTCTGATTTCTTTTTATTACAATTAATTCACTATTAATTTTAACATCTGATTATCACTCAGGAGATGCCTGTTGTTATTTTCTTTGGCAGCTTTAAAAATGGAGAGAAAATTCCCAAAGATTAAATGGGGAACACAGAATATATATCCTCTTATATCAATAGTCAGATCTTTCCTAAGAAGTAAGCTAATTGAGCTGTTTGTGTTGATAAACTCCCTTTTCTCCAGACTGTTCCTCACTGAGCCATAATTATTTGCAATTTGCCTAAGTCGTCCATTTACTGATACGTCAAGCATGAAACAGAGGCAATTCCAGAAAATGGAAATGCTTCTCAAAATCAATCTTTGGGAAATAATGTGGTAGAAGTTACTGTGTGATAGAAGACTACCTTAGAACTGTCACATGGAGATGAATATTAATTTGTTGAGGTTAAGGTGGCTTTGTGCTTCATTTGTTGACTTTGCTTAGCCATCAGCAAGCAGCACAGTACAATTACTCCAGCGAAGCTATTTTTTTCTCACATGAATTTTATGATTTTTATGTACTTACCAGTCAGCACACATAACAATGTCAAAATGTCCTTCCAGTTGAGAGACATCTGTCTCATTATCCCATCGTAAAATGCTAGAAAGAAAGAAAAGATTTTAAAAATTACACTTATATGTTTTCGTCTTTTTCATTTCTAAAACAAGGTGCATTTAGTATGTTTGGCATAGAGTCAAAAGAATTGATTGATTAAAAGTACATAACATGATGATAAAGAGCACATATACATGTGTAAATTACTGACATCTCCTATAAAATATAGCTTTATATGGACAGCTGGTTAAAAAGATTCCTGTAAGTAAATCAATATATACAAGAAGCCTAGAGTTTTGCCCTTTACTAATTAAATTGGTATATAGTAAATTGCAGTATTGCTTATTGAATTGCAGTATATATTTACAAACCGAAAGATTGCTTTCTTGTCTCTCTGCTGGTTCTGATAAGTGTTTGCTGACTTTCTCATTGATGAAGCAACTGTTTCCTTTAGCTTTATAGGAAGGACAGAGAATGCCCAAGCATAAGCATCCTTGAAAATATGCCAACACTGCACTACTAAGATTTGTTCTTGACTGGTTCATGATGTTTAATTCTAACATTTGGAATATTAGAGTTAAAGCAAGCTTTATATTTCATTTCCAAAACAAAATTATGAGTATCAGAATCAGAAGTTATTTTTTAAAAATAAAATTTATATGCATATTGTTTAAACTTGTTTTTCTTACAAAATCTATTATTTTGTTTTTATTTTATGATTTGGTATCAAAATAAGAAATGTATGTTTCATTTGCAGTCACTGGTACAAATAAAGCTAGAAAGAGAGGAGAAGGATGTATTCAATTTGTCCATATTTATTTCAATTTTAGGACTTTTTATTCTCTGCTGATAACCGTTTCTGGTTCACATCATCATCAGCAGTAGTTTATATGATTCACGTTTATGGTTTACCCATAATTTTTTCTTTATGAGAGATGTTTTTTACTGTTCAGCAATATGTCTTATGTACATACAAGATTATTGAATAGACTCCTTGAAAAAAACAATCAGTGCTGCACATTTATGTGTATAAATAAATGTGTACAGCATCATGGGGAAGATTGTGTAGAATATCAGACTAACAAAATAATAATGCAGAATTCACTCACTAATTTACCCTCCTGGAATGTATTGTGCCATTCCAAGGGGGAAAAACAGTAGGTTAATTTAATAACCTCACAACCCCGAGTACATACGTGCATGCATATACAGACCCATACATTCACACCCATTTAAACTATAAAGTGGGTACACATTTTCGAAGCCTAGGTGGCTTTGCAAACTGGCACTTTCAGGGCTCAGCAGGCATCCACTAGTGGAAAGTGACAAAGGAGAGTTCTCACTCTCAGCTGCTGACTGCCTGCTGGCTACTGGCGGCTTTTTCAACCCTGTTTCCCTGGAAACTTAGGTTACAACAGTGAAAATTAGGTAAAGGTAAGTTGGTGGGGTTGCTAGTTCTCATTTGATTTTGATTTAAAAAAAAAAAAAAACACCCTGAAGCTGCAATAGCAGCCAGTGGTTGAGTTGCTAGCTTTAAAGGCCATCACTAGTCTCTCATTCCACTGAAAAGCAATCCATGAAGACAAGTAAGAACCACAATACTTGATGATTATTTTTCCTAAATCCTCTTTATTTATGGCTACCTGTCCAAAATATATTGAAGATGACTCTGTAATTGTCCAACATTATCCATTGCACTTTGAAGACTTGTGGATTCTTAACCATGTTCATGCACTACATATTTCATTGGGTTTTTTAATTTCAAAAGAACCACACTCTAAAATATAAATCTGGAAAATTCAGATAAAACAACTGAACTTGAGTTGCCTTTCTACTCTTTTGGCTAGTCCAGTCCATGCACACACACATATACTACATTCATGAAGGCTAACTAACTGGTTCAAAATACATTATATTTCCTCCCCTCCCCCCGCCACATTTTGAATAAATCTCTCTGATTTTTTTTCATTTACATAATTTTTCAACCAGAAGAGAGACATGGTTGTTTAGATGGAATCATCTCTTGGAGAGGGTGGGAGGAAGTAACACATGCTTACTTCTGCCACCTTCTGATAGATAGCACTTTCCCTCTTAGCCATTTTCACTGCAGAAGTATCAAAAACTCTTTTGCACAGGATACATACAGGAGAGATTTCCTGGAGCCAGCTCAGGATAGCTTATTTTTTTTCAGGCAGTATAGAAATTCTCTCAATCAACTCAAGATCCTTATGACACATTCAAATGTGACAAATAGCACACTACAATACTTCTGTTCTAGAAGTTCTAGTTGGAGATACAAGATTACTTCTTTGAGGACTTCTCAAATACCCTTTTAATAACCCCATGTTAACTTTCTATATGTAAGGGAGTAAATCATAGCTCTATAGTACAGGACATGCAAAAGGTTCTCAGGTTCAATTTCAGTTAAGGATAAGGAAATTAAACAGATAAAGGAAGCAGGTGATCTCTGCTCAAGATAAGAAAATTGTTGCCATCAAAGCAGACAATAGTGCAATTTAAGAAATGACCTTATGCTGACAATAGATCCCTCTGATCTGTTTGATTCAGTGCAATCTATACCGAATGGCAGTAGCTGTCCACGATTTCAGATATACATTTTGCCAGTTCTATAAACTCTTCCATATTGAACTAGATGAGCAAATAACATGACCTCTTATCCAGAAATTTTTGATGGAATCCAATAACTGAATTAAATAAACTAAACAAGGACACATTACTATAACTATGACAGATAGAAGGGCAGAAAGGAATGGCCCATTATCTTAAGATCCTACAAGATTCTATTTTCTCCCAGTAGCATAGTTCAAACCACAATGTACAGTAGTTATTGTTTGTGAATTTACATTTGTAAGGCAGTAGAAAGCCTGAGAAGAAGACCTATTCCCTCACCAGCCATGGAAGATATGATTTGTGTTATCTAGGAGCAAATCACAACATCATTCCAGAAGTATTTAATCCAGTGAAACACAATATATTAAGATGCTCAGCATGGGGTCATATAATTCAGCCCCAGTGTCTACCTAAACACATAATGGAGATCTTAGTGATAGCACATGTAGAATAAAAGCAACTGCATGCCATAAATAACAAAAGTGAAGTTTAAAAGGTCAGCAGGAAACACAAGTACATTATCTATGGCTATTGTAACTCTCCCTTACTCAGTAAACTAACTCATACAGAGCTTAACCTATCCAGAGGAATCAGGAAATGGGCATAAATGGGAATATGTTGCTAACTAAATCCTCAAATGCAGGTAAGTTCCAATTATACATTGTGAGTAGGTGTAAGAATATTGCGCCTTGATGAGCTACCGAGCATCCTTCTCCAGCTGCTGCAGTGGCAGGCCACAGATATCTAACTCAATGTTCTTTACAGGAGCACAACACATATTAACTTCAGAGAGTGCTCCCTTAATTCTCTTGACTGATCCAGTACTATCTCGGTGATGATATTATATTCCCCAACAGATAAATTCTCAGATATGGAGAACACAGGAAATATAAGTAAGTGCACATCAATGAAAGAATGGAAGCCTTGCTAAAGTAAATATCTAACAGTATTTAAATGGGATACCATTTCTCCATCAGTAATTTTCAGTGAGAATCCAGTCCCAGGTACTATTTTCTGTAGGTGCAATGCAAGAGTGAAATGAATTGTTTCATTTTTGAACTTTTTTGTAATGTTTCTTTACAAGTGCAGAAAAGATTAGGGATTCTTTTCAATCACTTGAAAAGAAAGAAAATAATGCAAATGGAAGTCATAGAGTTAAAACATCACTACAATTTAATTTTTATTACAGTATAAAATATAACATATTTATGTATACAGATATTTTTAAAATGTCAGTATTACCCATTAACATTCCTGCTCCCAGACAAGTTAGAAAAATAAAACCATTAAAACAATAAAATCAACTATTGATTTACAATTATGGTAAAGCAGTAAGGAGAGCCAGTTTGGTATAGTGGTTTCTAAGGCAGGACTAGAAACCGGAAGACTGTGAGTTCTAGTCTTGCCATAGGCACAAAGCCAGCTGGGTGACCTTGGGCCAGTCACTCTCCCTCAGCCCTAGGAAGGAGACAATGGCAAACCACTTCCAAAATCTTGCCAAGAAAACTGCAAGGGACTTGTCCAGGCAGTTGCCAGGAGTCAACACTGACTCGAAGGCATACATAACAAAAACCAGGCAGTAAAACATTAACCAAATTCAGCCAAGGTATAAAAGGCCATGATTTTTAAAAAATATTAATGATTTTATAAACAAACAAACAAAAATCTCCTCTTGCCCCTATGGGTGGCATGAGTTTTCCTCATTCTGGGGTCCTCTACCAGAGGCCTGGGAGTTTGAAGGTTCTGTGTAGTATCTTAGCTGTTCCTAGCACTGCACTCTTCTGGACAGAGAACTCTGATGTTGTTCCTGGGATCTGTTGGAGCCACTATCCCAGCTTAGGAGTCACAGCCCCGAGTGCTCCTACCACCACTGGGACCGCTTTGGCCTTTACCTTCCACATCTTCTCTAGTTCCTCCTTCAGGCCCTGGTACTTCTCCAGCTTCTCATACTTCTTCTTCCTGATGTTGCTGTCACTTGGCTCTGCTACATCTATCACCACTCCTATCTTCTGGTCCTTGTCCACTACCACGATGTCTGGTTGATTGGCCAGTACCTGCCTGTCTGTCTGGACCTGGAAGCCCCACAGGATCTTAGCCCTGTTATTCTCCACAACATTCTGTGGAATCTCCCATCTGGACTTGGGAGGGTCTAGCCCTTACACTGTGCAGATGTTCCTGTACATAATGCCAGGTACTTGGTTGTGCCGTTCAGTGTATGCTGTTCCTGCTTGCATCTTACACCATGCCACTATGTGTTGGACTGTCTCTAAGACCTCTCTGGACAGTCTGCATCTTGGGTCCTGCCTAGTGTGGTAGACCATTGCTTCTGTGGATCTGGCGCTTAGTGCCTGTTCTTGTGCTGCTATAATCAGTGCCTCAGTGCTGTCTTTTAGTTCAGCCCTCTCCAGCCACTG